AACCTACTGGGAACGGCTTTGTGCAACGGCGCTCGCAATTTGGCCTGCTTGGCGGATCCCATGGTGATGACCGAAGGCGTGCCGCAGAGACGAGCGAGCAGAGGATTGAGTCGTGTCGAGAGGCAGACCAAGCGTGCGATGACAGTTAATGGGCACACTAGATGCCCAACAAGACGCAAACGAGACAGGCATCATTTACCAAAAACCAGGGACCAGCAAGTAGCGCCTTTGCAGCGGGAGAGGATGGCCTTTGAGCATCAGTTCCGCGCAGTCAGGTGAGGAAGGGCCTGGTCTGTCCGACTGCGACCGAGGACGTACCCAGTACTCGAGGGCCCATTCGTCGCCCGCCAAGTATTGATTGTAGCCCTCGGTAACCAATCAGCGCCGCTTCCTGCCCCTGCCCTCGCCATGCCGCCCACTTTGGGCGTTGGCCTTAATTATGGGCAATTCCTCGACCCGGGCCAGCTAATTAGCGGCCTATTCATAGCACACAGACACACTACCACCACCACTACCACCGCCGCCGCTAGACTACTACTGCTACCTACCACTACCTCGACTCCCCTGTCGTCCGCCCCAGCAGCCTAGCATGCCGCTGCTTTGCCCCGCAGCGTAAGCTAGCATCCTCGGCCCCGTCATTGGCCCTCGTCGCCCGCTAGCAAAAGCTTCTCTTGCAATTTCACCTCGAGCAACATGCACAAGCGACTTGTTTTGCGTGGGAGCGCACGCTGACTGGATGCCGCCGCCCATCGTGTGCTATGCCACTCCGCTGCGTTACACCACTCCCTCGTCGTTGCTCGCGTAGCTCGGGAAAAAACATCGCCAACCGACCTGCCGTGTTTGGCCAACACTGCCGTCTGCCTTTTTCGTCCGCCTAGCTTCGAGCTGGGCAGGTCGCGCGGTGGAAATGATCACGACAGCCTCAACTGCCAGCTCCGCTTCTCGACTGGCTGTGGCCGACGTGGCCGTCGAGGGCCAGTGACTCCCTCCTCGCTTCGCTTGCACACGCACATACTACTACGTACATCCACGCATACACGCACGCACTCATGCTCCCTGCTGGCACGAGGACAACTACCAGCAGGTGCTGTGCTTGCTTGTACACGGACCGGCGCATTGCATCCCGTGATCTGCGCATCTGCACAAGGCCACCAGTAACGTCCGGGCCGGCCACTTATCGCAGCCGCTGCAAGTGTTTTTCCCTAGACGGCTCTGGAATGATGCCACTCGTCGATAGTGCCCCGCAGGGAGGTTGGGACGAGAACAGACTAACGCACCCGACCCCCCTGGCTGCGAAAACTCTCACGTCGACATGGGCGTATGCCTCTAGGGCCGAGTCGCCTAAACGGGACAATTTACTTACCAGACTGGTTGCGGGGGCCAGTGAGCCGATCGATAGCCGTGGAGAGATGGACGCTATGGCCTGCGGCTGGCTCAAGCGCGGCGGGTAAGTAAGCCCCAAAATAGCTGGCAACACAAAATGCCCCCAAATGTCGACATCAGGCTGCATGGCCAGACTAGTCTGCCCAATCAGCATGCCGGCGCCATGTGTTGTACCACGTTCGCAATTCCCTCCCGTTGGTCGCCCGCCCCTCGAGATAACTGCCAGTCCAAGAATAGATACAGCAGTATTTGTGACCATTGTGCCGTTCCTGGCAGATATAAGGTACTTATCGCTCACTAATAACCCTCCACGCAAATAGGTAGTCCGCATAATTTGGTTCCGCTCCTTCCTTCACATCAAGCCCGCTGGTCGAGCTTTGAATGCCCATCTTTAATTACGAGCAGCCCGGTCGAGCCCTGCCATCCTGTCCCTTACGAATCGTCCCGTCGTGCGTTAGTCGTTATTGCCGCATCGTTTAACTGGCTTGCCTCATATACCACCGCTCTGGGTACCTCGAGCGTCCATGTCCTCCTCGTCCGCTCCCACATCTGCTACCAAACACTCCACAACCATGGTAGGCGCTACCACTGCTGCTGCTAACGCAGCAAAGCAAGCCGCTGCAAAAATGCATCGACGCTCACGAACAGGTAACATATACCCTCTGCTTTTTGTTTTTTTTTCCTATGCAGGGATCCCGCGCATGGACTTGGACGGGCTGGCTAACGGATCTTGTGCAGGGTGCTTCACATGCCGCCTGCGACGCAAGAAGTGCGACGAAGGAAAACCATCCTGTCGTGCCTGCAAACACCTTGGCCTCAAGTGTGAATACAAGAGGCCCATGTGGTGGAGCAACAACGAGCAGAGGCGCAACCAGAAGGAACTCATCAAAAACATCATCAAGCGCACAAAGCTCAATGAGAAGACTGCACAGGGCGCTTCCATGGGTACAAACACTCCACCAAGCCTTTGCCATTCCATGCAGACTGCCGACACATTCTCAGACGGCGTCGGCTGCACAAGAGCGCCTTCTGTCGATTCGCAGAACTCGCTCGACTACAACTTCAACCCAGCCCCTACCACAATCGACTTCTACAACTCCACCATGCCTCCACCCAGCTTCCCCCCCAGCTTCGCCCACCCAGGACACTATGTCCCATACGACATTGACATCAAGACCGAGAGCCAGATGTTCATCAACGACATCCCAACTCGACGCGATTCAACCATCTCCTCCTACAGCCATTACCAAACACCTCCAGCATATCCCTCAGACAACTGGATTCAACAAGACTACTTTGAGCGCCGCGAATCATTTACAGAGGAGCCCCTTGAGTTCCCCATCTTTGACTACAACACATATGGCACTTTCAGCCCATCACACCAGCCATCAATCCAGGTGGATGATTGCGACCGCCATCTGCTCAGCCACTTTTTGGAGAACATCATGCCCTCTGCCTTTCCTGTCCTGGAAACCAACCAACCTGGCGCAGCGCAGCGCGATGTCATCATCCCAGCCCTCGAGACCAACAAGGCATACCTACACTGCTGCATGAGCATATCCGCACTACACATGAAGACCACTCAGGGGCTCACTGGGGAGCAGATTGACCTAGACATTCAGCGACACCGTGGTGAAACTGTCCAGCAGCTCACCGCTGCGCTCTACAGTGACAGCAACCACGGCCAGACCCTCGAGGCAGCGCTCGGAATGATCTTTTTCCAGTGCTCAGTCGGCCGATTCAACGACGGTCTCATGGACATCCCATGGCACGGCCACTTTGAAGCCGTCCAGAACCTCGTCCACAGGCTGGAGCTTCCTGCGCAGATGATTGCACTGAACGGTCAGACACACGCTCAGCCACCCTTCAACATGACACTGGCTTCCTGGATCGACATCCTCGGCGCTACGATGCTGGGCAGGACACCATCATTCGCTGACACTTACCGGGAGAAGCTTATTGCAGATGCGTCTTCCGGCCTCGCAGAACTCATGGGATGCGAAGACCGCATCATGTATCTCATTTCGGAAATCGCCTGCCTCGAAGCGCTGAAGAATGAGAACATGGATATCGTGCAGCTTTGCGCCCACATCAAGCTCCTTGGCGAGCAGATCAGCTTGACCGAGCCGCCCCAGGGTTCGCTCAACAGCGCCTACTCATCTACTGGTGAGATTCTCCCCCGTCAGCTTCGCCGCAACATGACTGCAGTGTACCGGCTAGCCGCCCGCATCTACCTTTGCAGCCTAGTGCCAGATTTTGATCGCACATCACCCACCTTTGTCAACCTGGTGAGTGCTCTCTGCAAGGCCATGGAGTATATCCCCGCTGGCCCTGACGGCTTTGACCGTTCTCTGATTTGGCCACTCTTGGTCGCTGGCTCCATCTCGGTGCCGCAGTCTGGATTCCGCAAAATGTTTGCTGATCGCTCTGCCATGCTGGGTGAGGCGGCAAAGTTTGGATCGTACGGAAGAGTCAAAACCCTTCTCCACGAAGTGTGGCAGGCCAACGACGACAACCTGGCAAAGGGCAACACACAGAGTGTTCACTGGCGGGACATGATGCGACAGAAGAACTGGGACTTTTTGCTCATCTGAGTGGTCGCTTCTTCTGCTGGTATGCATCCTGGTCTTGTGTGCGTTTACCCCTTTTGCCAACTTACATTCTCTTCTCGTCTGGGCCTTGGCTCTTCTTGCAGCAACTTTTACCACAGCGATTTGCTTATTTCTTTGCATATATTTTATTCTATACGATACCCACTTTTGTAATTTTGGATAACAATGGCTCTCAGGAGCAAAGGCAGCATTCACATGGCGCAGTAGCATCGACTGGATGTCGTTAGGAAGGAAAGGGGGTGTTTTTTTTACTATTAACGAGATCACGTCTGGATTCGGTGTGGTCTGATTGCCTCCCTAAGAAACCGTACATGGAAAGGGGGGATGGAGAAAGGAAGGGGGGAAGGGGGGTGAGGGGGAGTAAGGGAGAGAAGACGTAGGGGCCAAAAGCTGCGTGGGGGAAGCTAGCGCAGCACCCCAACGGCCGGCGCGTGTACATGTACGTAGAGACATGGATAGTAGTGTAGCAACGGGGCTCCAGAGTGAGGCCCATAGGAGAGGAATTGAAGTTGAAACGAGCGATACGCTCAGGCAGCGTCGTGCCTCAATGATGCACATGCACGTGTGATTGGCTGACGAGCGTGGCACGCAGCGGCAACGCAGCGACGCAGCTCTCCGCATGTGGCGCGGCAGTCGCTGGTTCCCGTGGCTAGGAGCCGTGGAGAAGTGGCCGGCGTCGACGTCTAAAATTAGTGACGACCACCGGCCGGACTGCGAAGCTGCAGGCTAACGCGTACGGCCAGCATCAGACGGTCAGCGAGACATCGCCAGACTGCCATTCCAGCCAGAGCAAGGTCGTGGCGGGTGTGTCTAGCCTGCCGTCGACTGTGTGTTGCATTGCCCTCGACGTCGAACACGGGCCCTTGGATGATTGTCATTTTGCCGTCGCCGTTATTACCACCTAGACCCGTATACCACCCCCACCCACTTGTATACACGCCGGAAGACGCATCGTCCCGCACATAGCTATCGCGCTCCACGACATCTAAACTCGACCTGTTCCCAATGGCGTCCCCGGCCACGGTTCCGTTTACTTCCGTCGACACCACCACGCGACAGCTGACCAGGGACGAGGTGGAGTCGCCGAGCATCTCCAGCGCAAATGCGCTTGCCCGCTACGAGTACGAAGCGGGCCATGCAAATGCCACCACGGGCACCAAGATTCTGATGGTCGAGTGGGAGGACGACGACACAACGCGGGGAGTGCGGGGAGACTGGCACATCTCATGGGACGGCAGCACACGGGTCCTGCCCGCCAACGACCAGTCGGCCAACGACGTGCATCGCATGTACTTTTTGCTGCCCCCGGGCGTCGCAGTACCCACCAGCATTACACTCACGCTACGACCGCAAGACGGTACCCGGGCTCCTGTTGTCTGGCATACAAATCCCCTTCCGGCATTGTTCCCGCCAGAGCTAGGGGCATCGGCGCGGGCAGCGGGCAAGAAGGGTGTCCTGCACACCATTTGGGCAAAGAAAAGGCTGCAGGTACTACAAAAGGAGATTGAGGCAGAGTCACGCACCAACGTCGAGGGTGTCGGCCTGCTCATGGCTGTGCAAGAGAAGGAGTGGATTGAGTCGACATTCGGAGTCAATGCCAAACCCGCAGGCCTAAGTATCTCACTTGGCGAGCCCGTGCTGGCACCGATGAAGGCACCTTCTAGCCCACGGTCACCTGGCGGGGGCCGCCTCATGGACAAGCTGGCAGGACTGCGACTAGGCACGAGTGAAAAGGACCTCTCACCCAGCAACAGTACGCCGGGCTTCTCCAATCCCCTATCGCCCGAATCTTCAGACATTGCTATTAGTTCTTTTGCAGCCTTCAAAGGCGCAAATCCAGCTAGCCTTGCGGCAAAGCCTCCGCAACCACCCCAGGTTCAGCCAATAGATCCGCCTCGGAGAATCGCAGCACAGGCACCTCCACAATTCATCACAGAACAGCAGAGTGCTGGAATGGGCTCGTTAAACGCTCTGTCTGGCCCAGCGCCCGTTTTTCAATCTCGAGGCCCACTGGGGTCTGCAGACGACGATGACAAGGACGATGGACTCTTCGCGTTGCCTATCAGCCCACGGAGCCCGGAAGTAGGCAAGAGTCCCTTCTCATTTTCAGCCAGTGACACGGCATCTTTTTTGAAAGAAGAAAGTGCTGCGTGAGCACATGGATAGATTCGACGGTTGTGCCGGAGTCTTGGGGTCTAGAATTCTGTCTTAAATGGAGAGGCACCTGTAGCCCTCTTGTTTGGCGTGATACCTTGGCGGCCTTGTTGGCTATTTTGCAAGATCCTAGATAGGTGAATACACAATGAATAAAATCCATAGTTGCAGCCGCGTTGCTCTCTTGCTATTGGCTGCCCGACAGGCTGCCGTTGGGTTTGGGCAAACGCTGGGCTTGGCGCCTGCAAGCTTCGGCGCTGACGAAAGTGGATTCGCCGACGCGAACTCGAGCGCGGCTTCTACGGTACGACTGTCGCAAACCTCTCGCAAACCTCTCGACAACCACACACGAACCTCTCGCCGTCATCGTCGTCGTCGCCGCCGCATCACCACCGCGCTGTTGCCCGCAGTCGCATCAATACCATAACTAACTCGTACGCACAGTCTCCTGCACAGAGCCCGAGACGCGCCATCATGTTGGCCACCGGGCGCGGCAGCATTGCCCAGGTCCACTACACCGGGGAAGAGGCTGCAGGTGAGATCAACAAGCTCCTCAGCGCTGTGGTGAGTCTCCCATTGCCTCGCTGCAGACCTTCGCTAACAGCATATACAGGTGGAGAGCGAAGATGATTTCGACAAATGGGAAGCGCTCGTCACTCGCGCCTCTGAGCTCGAAGGCGGTGTCACCCGCAACTCCAGTCCCTCGATCATCGAGCTTGTCCGCAACGTCTACGACTGCTTTCTCACCAAGTTTCCACTGTTCTTCGGTTACTGGAAGAAGTATGCCGACCTCGAGTTCTCGATTGGCGGCACAGAGACTGCCGAGATGGTATACGAGCGTGGTGTCTCGTGTATCACTACTTCGGTAGACCTGTGGGCCAACTACTGCAGCTTCAAGATGGATACGTCGCACGACAACGACATTATCCGAGAGTGAGTTCTGCCTTTGCCCCACTTCCCTCCTCCCGATTCCGAGGCTCAAATCGCCGTAGCCAGCGGTGGGCTCGGGCGCGCTCGGGCGCTACATGTTTACATGTCCCATCATCCCGTTGCCATCCCCCCCCCACCCCGTTCACACTCTACCCCCGCGAAAGAGTTGCCCAAGACCCTGGAAGGACGAAGTTCGATAGCCTTACCATCCTTTTGTTGGCACACTAAGTTACTTTTCAAGATCGTCCCCTTTCATTATCTCCTCATCGTACTCTCCTTATTCAGACCTTTCAATACTAACTCAACAGGCTATTTGAGCGAGGTGCTCACTTTGTCGGTCTGGATTTCCAGAGCCACCCATTCTGGGACAAGTATATCGAATTCGAGGAGCGCATCCAAGAGCCAGCAAATGTTACCAAGATCTACAGCCGTGTTTTGCACATACCCATCTACCAGTTTTCTCGGTACTATGAGAAATTCTCCGTCCTTCTCTCCAACCGTCCAGTAGAAGAGTTGGCCAGTCCGGAAACGCTCGAAAAGCTGAAAGCCGCGGTTCAGTTGGAGAATCAGGGACAACCTGACAAGCCAGCGCTTGAGATTGAGCGGCAGCTGCGCGCCAAGATAACCGAATGGTACTACGGCTCGTACTCGAAGACACAGCAGGATGTTACCAGCCGCTGGACCTATGAGCATGCCATCAAGAGGGCCTACTTCCACGTCACCGAGCTCGAAGAGTCCGAGCTTGAGAACTGGCGTAAGTATCTAGATTACGAAGAGAAGCAGGGTGACTTCGAGCGTATCGCGTTCCTGTATGAGCGCTGCTTAGTCGCATGTGCTTTGTACGACGAATTCTGGCTGCGATATGCCCGCTGGATGTTTGCCCAGGGCAAAGAGGAGAACGCAAGGATCATCTACATGCGAGCCAGCTGTATCTTTGTGCCCATCTCAGCCCCCACCATACGCCTCAACTGGGCTCGTTTCGAAGAGAAGCTCGGTCGAACATCTGTCGCTCGTGATATCTACCTGGCTATGCTCGAAGAGGCACCAGAGCACACCGAGACTCTCATCTCCCTGGCAGGTCTCGAGCGACGGCACGAAGGCAACGATGCGGCTGTCCGCCTTCTAGAGCAGTACATTGACCGTTCCAACAATCATATTGGCGGCATACTCGCAGCGGAACAAGCACGTATTCTTTGGCAGTGCAAGAGCAGCATCGACGAAGCTCGTCAAGTCTTCAAGGACAAGCATGAGCGATTCCCAGACTCGCGTGAGTTCTGGATGAAGTACTTGGAATTCGAAATTGCACAGCCTTCTCCCAACCAAGAAGCGGCGCATGCTCGGATTAAGGCGGCTCACGAGCTGATGCGTACCAAGGGTCGCTTCTCTGCTGAGACGTCGAAAGAGTTGTCACACTATTACATGGCCTATCTCCTGAATCATGGCGGCAAGAATGCAGTCGAAGAGTACATGCAGCTGGATAAGGAAGTGAACGGGTATGTATCTGCTCAAAGAGCCCATTCCCAAACCCCTGCCCATCAGAAACGAAAAGGCGAGCCTCACATTGCAGCAAGCAAACGCCAGCGTAAAATAGACTTACGCTAGGCATCGTCCGCAGACCCAGGTTGCGTCAAGCTTCAGTTTGGAGGCTTTCTGTTGTCTTACCCTAGCATCCCCTGTCCCTTTTTAACTTGTTCTTATCATGTACCATCTTTTTGCATTTGCATGGCTACCGCAAAACGTAATGCACCAACTTCTTGTTATTTTGTTGTGTTTACTAACATTTGGCGTTTGATACAGTGCAAAACAGATCGAGGACCCTTCCACTGCTCTTCCCCTTACGCCAGCAAAGCCTAATCACCGAAGTCGTTTCTAGGAGTGCGACGGGATTTTGGTATGCATTCATATCCGTTACTTGTCTCAAATTGTTACTGACTGTGTTTACACAGACGAGGTGTGCTTACCCCTTCGCCCTACCCATGAGAGTTAATAAGCCCAGCCGCTTCGCGCGAAGGTAACTTCTGATCAGTTGCGTCCGACGATAGCGAGGCCTCCCATGATCTATGGCATGGCTCACAATCGAAGGCAGACTTTTTTTTTGCCTTGTCCTCTGCAGACAGGTGGTCGACTGAGCTGATAGGTACAGTAGCTCTTGTACTTGGTCGACCCCTGTTCTGGTTTGTTTTGCAGTGTACATTCTCGGCGTTTTCTTTCACGTGATCCAACATGATGGACACACATTTGACGGGGCTTACAAAAAGCGTTATTCCCTTCCTTCTTCTCCCCTCCCACTTCGTAGTCTCTTGTCCAAAGTAGATGATGGGCTACTCTAATAGAGAGAAGCACGAGTGCAACATGCGCACCAGACGAATACAATTCACTTGTTCATACAATTGGAAGCAGTGTTTTGCGTACGTGAAGTTTTTGGTCATCAAGTAGTAGTAATAATGGGTTTACTTTGGCTCGTAGAATTCATCGAGGTAGGTATCATGTCGTATCTATGTACATGGGGAATAGTTTTATCCCAAAGGTTTTTGAACTGTCGAACAGCTCCGTCATTGTCATCGGCATCAAACATGGCTTGTTTTTTTTTTCTCTTCGTCTAAACAGCAAAGCCTCCGCTATTCTTCTGCCTGGGCTCACTCGCCGCCTCAAACGTGCCATTGGGCAAAAGCCTCAGACCCTGTGCACTACTGCTGCCAGGCGCCATCCACGTCACGTTTGCGCCAATCTGCTGCAGATACGCCGTGGTAGCATTATCAAACGCATACTCGAAGCTCACCTGGGCGGGGACAAGCTGATCGTGGAATCTGGGCTGCGCCAGTGCCTCGGCCGTCGTCATATTGCCACTAAGCATATGAATGATATTCTGGATCGTCGCCGTAATAATGCGCGAGCCACCGGCGGCACCGATGGCAATGTACAAGGCGTTTGTGACGTTTGCGAGATTGAGGTGCTCGACGATGACGGGGGCGATTGAGGACAAGGGGCGTTTTCCGGGGCGAATGAAGTTTGCAGGACTGGGGATGTATCCAAAGGCGTTTGTAGTGTTTGGGATGCTGAAGTCGTTCATTTCGTTGTTCATGATGACGCCTGTTTCGGGGACCACGAGTTTGCTGCCGAAGAGCAGGTTGACGGTTGTGGTGAGGGAGATGGCGAGGCCGCTTGCGTCGGCAGCGACGACGTGGCTGGTGCCGGGGGTTTCGAGGGATTCGAGGCCAGAGGGGTTGTAGTAGGCTACGGGGAAGGTTTTGTCGTCGAGGATCTTGCTGCGGACTTCGGCGGCCGTGGCGTTGGAGAGCATTTGCTGCTGGAATGTGTCTAGGCCTTTGACGAAGGACGGGTCGCCGAGTTCTGTGCGCATGCCGTAGGCGAAGCGCATGCTTTCGTCCAGGCGGTGCGTGGTGAGGTTGGCGTTAAGGGGGTCGCCGACGCCTGAGTAGCCTTCCATGAATTTGAGGGCCGCGAGGGTGACGCTTCCGCCGGAGGGGGCGCTGCAGGCCGTGAGTTTGTAGTTTCCATACGTGATGGATGAGGGCTTGCGGATGGCCACGGTGTAGTTTGCTAGATCTTCGAGCGTCATAGTGCCATTGGCGGCCTGGAGAGCGCGGATTGTAGCTTCTGCCAACGGCCCTTTGTAGAATGCGTCTGGACCCTGCTCTGCGATGATTGAGAGTGTTTTGGCATAGCGCTTTCGAGTGATGGTGTCGTTGAGCTGGAGAAGACGGCCTTTGGGTGCAAAATCAATCGCAAACTCCTTGTCGTTGACGAAGAAGTTATCCTCTCCGTTATTTGAGGCAGAAGCCATGTACCTCACAAGATCTTCGTTGACCTTCCAGCCATTTTTGGCGACCTTGGCGGCTGGCTTGATGACAGTTTTCCATGGGAGGCGACCATACTTTTCATGGAGGTATTGCAGACCACGAAGTTCACCCGGAACGCCAGATGCGAGACCGCCCGTTTCACTAGCTATGGTATTGTTCTTGTACATATCTTCGAAAGCAGCGGCTGGAGCTGTCTCGCGGAAGTCAATAAACTCATATGTGCCGTTTGGTGAACGGACAAGCATAAAGCCTCCCCCAGCAATTCCTACCATCTTTCAGTAACTCCTGTAGGAAGCACTTTGGAAGATGGACTTACCAGAGTGGTACATGGCAACGACGCCTACGCATGCCACGGTACCAACCATGGCGTCTGCCGCATTACCGCCCGCCTTCAATATGTCGGTTCCAATACGACTGCAAATCGCGGTAGATGAAGCTACAGCACCAAGCCGCGGCTCATGAGGGCGGAACGAGTAAGGTTCCTCCTCTTTGTAGAAGGAAACATGCCTTTTGACTGGAGTAGCTAATGCGCTTTGCAGCACCAAGAGCCCAATCAAGGGCTTGACAAGCAAAGACGGCGCCATACTGTAGGCAGCACAATGCTGTTACCAAACGGACGGGGAAGAGAGAAGCCTGCGAGGTCGGCGTGGTGACGGCATGCGAGGAGTCGTCAGTACCTCTTTATAGTACACATGCCGACAGCGGAAGATGCTGACCCCTCCCCTACCAGATAGCCAGGGCAGTTACTCAAAGTGCTTAGCGTCAGCAACAGAAAGCGGAAGCTGGCATGAGAAGTGTACGCGGTTCTAGGCATTACTACGGACATGGTTAAGAAAATTCTGATGGTAGCGCTGAAAGACGAAGAGATAGGGTCTTAAAGCCGGGCCGTCTGCGGTATTTGGAGGCTTTGGCGCTGGTCGTGATCTGGGCGAAAGATAACGCAAGAAGTGTTGAGGGAGGACCATTGAAGATCGTGAACCGGACTAGAGCGATATGGTCCTGCGGAGATGACAGTCATGTACCATGGGGCCCCTCGCTGGGTATCAGGTAACCACAGAAGCCTCTTTTTTTCTCACGAGCCAATCTGTCAAACTCTACGTATCTTAAGGTTCGACAGCCAACATCCAAAGGGCGCAGAATGCATGTAGGCAGCAGAAGCGGCCAAGACAAAAGGGTCCAAGAAAATAGCCCGACGATTCAGCCATGGCCCATTATTCGGCGCCCTTATCTCTGTGTGGGGTACAAGGCCCAAGCACGGTTAAAAACCCCAGAAACGTGACACCGTGATGTAACCAGGTCGCAAGGCGCGAGTCGCGATGCTCGTTACGCGTCTCCGGCTTTCTCCACCTGCACACCGACCATCTGTTTCCTACAACCCACAAACGGTCCAATGGCGCCGAAAAGCAGTCAATCGTCCCAGAAGAGCACCCAGCCGACAATATCGAGCTTCTTCACACGCAAGCCGGCACAACCCCCCAAAGCTGCTGCTGCCACCACTCCTGCCGCTCCCGCTCCCGCTGCCACTCCCGCATCTCCACCAAGAACAAAGTCTCCGCCCGCCACCAACGACACGACCCAGAAAGACGGTGATGATGATGATGATGACGAAGAAGATGGCCTTCCCATAAGGACACCTCTTACCCTCCGTAAGCGCGCAGTACATGACGATGATCAACCCCAAGGCTCAGGTCGGTCCTCGCCTTCCAAACGCGTTCGCTTCACCAAAAACCTCTCTCCGGAACAATCACCTACACACACATCCGCCACTACCTCGGGTGCACCGAAGCCTCCCAGAATCACCGACAGAACCTCTAAGTTTCTGTTCTCGTCATCACCGGCGATTCAAGACGAGAACAAATCAGACAACGATGATGATGAGGAGGAAGAAGAAGATGCCGCCGTTGCCCAGAAGCAAAAGGAGAAACTACATGAGAAGTTTGTGAAGAAGCTGGGCCGTCCTGATAGCTTTGCCGAGCTGCGAAGGCGGAATAAGATCCTTTCAGAGGATAACGCTAATGAGGAGGAGGGCGAAGGCGATGAGGATGACGAAGAGGAGCCCCCACCAAAGCCTATCAAAGGTAAAAAAGCCGTCGCCACGAAAAAGGCCAGCAAGTTGACGCCTATGGAAATTCAATATCTCGATATCAAGCGCAAGCATCTGGACACTATCATCGTCATGGAGGTGGGATACAAGTACAAGTTCTTTGGTGAAGATGCAAGAATCGCATCGAAGGAGCTAGGAATCGTCTGTATACCAGGAAAATTTCGGTACGACGAGCATCCTTCTGAGGCACATCTGGACAAATTTGCGTCTGCAAGTTTCCCCACTCATCGCCTGCAAGTCCACGTCAAACGCCTTGTACAAGCGAACCACAAAGTGGGTGTGGTGCGCCAGGTCGAAACTGCAGCGCTCAAGGCGGCTGGCAACAACAGGAATGCGCCGTTCGTCCGAAAACTCACAAATCTCTACACCAAAGGCACATATGTGGATGATGTAGAAGGCCTGGAAACACCAACCGAGGGCTCAGGTACCAGTACACAGTCGACTGGATATCTGCTTTGCATCACCGAGAGCCATGCCAAGGGTTGGGGTACAGACGAGAAGGTTCAGGTCGGACTAGTGGCTGTACAACCGGCAACAGGCGATATCATCTACGACGACTTTGAGGACGGCTTTATGCGTAGCGAGATTGAGACGCTCCTGCTCCACATTGCGCCAGCTGAATTCCTGGTGGTTGGTGATCTGTCCAAAGCGACCAACAAGCTGATAGAACACCTCTCGGCCAGTAAGACCAACGTATTTGGAGACAGGTCACGAGTGGAGAGGGTGGAGAAGCCCAAGACAATGGCTGCACAAGCATACAGTCATATCTCGAACTTTTATGCGGGCAAAATGAAATCCAGTACAGACGCTGATTCGGAAAAGCAAGGTGCGGTCCTAGACAAGGTGCACCAGCTATCAGAGCACGTTACTATGTGTCTGTCTGCCATGATTACATACCTCAGCGAATACGGACTGGAGCATGTCTTCGACCTTACCAAGTATTTTCAGCCCTTCAGCGCACGATCATACATGCTGCTCAACGGCAACACATTGTCCAGTCTGGAGATTTACCAAAACCAGACAGACTTCACGTCAAAAGGCAGTTTGTTCTGGACCATGAATCGGACAAAGACTCGCTTTGGGCAACGGCTGCTTAGGAAATGGGTTGGTCGACCGTTGATTGATAAAGCCAAGCTGGAAGAGCGTATTGCGGCTGTTGAAGAGCTCAAGGAGGGTGAGCACACCATACCGGTGGACAAACTGAAGTTTGTGTTGGGAAAGATCAAGACTGATCTTGAAAAAGTCCTCATACGGATATACTACAAGAAGTGTACGAGGCCTGAACTGCTATCTGCTCTGCAGGCACTTCAAGAAATATCAAGCCAGTACTTGTCTGCTCAGACACCTGAGCAAAGCGGCTTCTCGTCGACACTGCTGAGTGAAGCTGTCTCAAACGTTCCAAAGATATATGAGGACCTGAATGGCTTCCTTGACAAGATCAACGCGAGTGCCGCAAAAGATGATGACAAGTACTCATTCTTCCGAGAAGAGCATGAGGCGGAGGACATCAATGATCTGAAGCTCAGCATTGCGTCGGTAGAAGATGACCTAAACACACACCGCAAAGAGGCAGCAGCAAAGCTTGGGAAGAGCAAGGTGGACTACGTCACCGTTGCGGGGATTGAGTATCTGATTGAAGTCAAGAGGAAATCACCCGAGGAAAAGAAAGTTCCTGCATCATGGCAGCAAATCTCAGCCACCAAGGCTGTTCTTCGCTTCCACACTCCAGAAGTCAAGCGTATGCTCCAAGAGCGGGATCAGTACAAAGAGTCACTTGCTGCCGCGTGCGATAGAGCCTACATGCGTCTATTGGAGGAGATTTCATCCAAGTACCAGCAACTTCGAGACTGCATAGCTTCTTTGGCTACGCTTGACGCTCTTCTATCTCTTGCTACCCTAGCAAACCAGCCAGGCTATGTAAAGCCTACTTTCACAGATGACATTCAGATTAATATCACAGGTGGTCGACATCCAATGGTTGAGCAGCTACTTCTCGATAGCTACGTACCAAATGACCTCTCGCTATCACACGACTCGACCCGCGCCCTTCTCGTAACAGGTCCCAACATGGGCGGAAAATCCTCCTTTGTACGCTCTGCCGCACTGATCGCCATCATGGGACAAATCGGGTCCTATGTGCCAGCCAGCGAGGCACATCTAGGAATGCTAGACGCGGTGTTCACTCGGATGGGCGCATTCGACAACATGCTCAAAGGCGAGTCGACATTCATGGTCGAACTCAACGAAACATCCGACATCCTCAAATCCGCAACTCCGCGCTCTCTGGTTATCCTCGACGAGCTTGGTCGCGGTACTTCGACTTTCGATGGTGTTGCCATAGCCGAAGCAGTGCTCGACTACGTCATTCGTGACTTGCAGTCTCTGACGCTATTTATTACGCACTATCAGCACCTCGCTAAGGTTCCCTCGCGATTTCCCAATGGCCAGCTAAAGAATGTGCATATGCGTTTTGAAGAACAAAATGGTGGGAGGGAAGTGGTGTTTTTGTACGAAGCAACAGAAGGCATGAGTCATCGGTCATACGGACTCAATGTCGCTCGGTTGGCGAGAGTACCCGAGAAGGTGATTGATGTGGCACAGGTGAAGAGCACAGAGTTGGAGCAGAGCATGGAGGCTCATAAGCTGGCGAATCTGTAAGTACATACTGATGATATGATGGGGAGAAAGGAGGAACTAACCGTGAATAGGTCGCGCATGATGAAGGGGCTGCTGGACGACGATTCGGAAGCAATGCTTGACAAGCTTGTAGAGGGAATTGAGCAACTGTGAAGTAAATGTGGAAATGTATGATAGCAGTGGGAGGGCTCTGTGTTTGGCACACCAAGATGAATCGTCATATAACGCAATATCGGTAGATTATGAGCGTTTAGCACTAGAAAGACATTCCTTGCGGCATCAAGCAAGCGCATTCAAATCGAACAACATCACAAGCAACATTGTAGACAATCGATACGGGATCATGATTATTTCATTTCGTGACTATCATAATAGCATCATCATGGCCAGCAAGACATGTACTGCCGCAGCCGTTATTCCCAAGGCCATAGCTCCCAGCGCCCGCAACCTTTCTTCATTACAACGAGCTTATTTGTCCTGGATGGGCATGTCCTTGCCGGTAGCACTCTTGTACTGTCCACGGATAAAGTCGCTAATCTGCTCGTCTTTGGCTTGCTCAAGAGCAGACTCGTTGTCTTGGGGTCCCTGACCGAGGAACTTTTCTTGGACAAAGTCGACGCCTGTACATGTACATGTTAGTTTTCTCATGCCACACTATCCCTCACTGAGATGGGATGAAGGGAAATGGTCAGGGTTAGGCAAGAACCCAACGTACCCTTGTCAAGGTAATCCTCGTTCTTCTCGCTGGCCTTGCCGCCGCCAGCAGCCTCGTTGAGCTTGTTGCCAATGCCGCCGAGGAAGCCACCCGAGCCTGACGATTGCTGTCCTGCGTTCTGGTCGTTGACGACCTGCTCGTTTACAGACTGGCCCTGGCTCTTGTTCTGGCCGCCGGCAAGCTTGTTGACAAAGTCCATGATGATGAATTATACGTTCAGGGTATAGGAGAGAAGTGAGGTAAGTGTAGTAGTAGTAGTAGCAAGTTTTGATTCTAAGAAAACAAAGCTTGTTCAGTACTGAGTATGTGAGAAGGAAGAAGAAGCTTCGTAATCGGGAAAGGGAGCCCTATTTATACAAAGCTTGCAACAACCTAAGGGGGGGGCGGCGCGCGTTGTGGGAAAGAAGCACAAGCAACGAAAGCAACAGACTGGGTTGAACCAAGATCTTAGCCCGCCCTCAATGACAGCTTTCCAAGACTGGAGAAAAAAACAATAGTTTGATAGGCTCGTCATCTATCTGGTCTACCGCTCTTTGTACCTGATGTGTAGCGGTGGCTTGCCCATTGCGATTAGCACTGCCCCGCGCAGGCTGCGCGCCGACGTCATTTAGTTAGACCCCCGCAGCCCGCCGCCCACGTCCCGCGCCAGAGCTGCAAACTAGCACGTTTTTTATCGTCGCCAAGGGTTTGGGGTGGGATATGTTGAAGTGTGTGTTTGACACGTGCGGCGGGGGAGCTTTCGAATCACATTTCATCATCTCTCAGCTTTTCCTTTTTTGTTTCTTAGGCACGAAACGGGCTTGGGTCTAGAGCGTCATTTGTTTAGTCGGTTAAACTTGTTTCCTTTCTCCACGTACGTACTACTAACTACAACGTAACCGCTGGCTCGAGCTTTTTTTTTCTTGAGGGGCTTTGACGTGATGATACCGATTACTATCATCACAGGGTTTCTAGGCTCGGGAAAGACGAGTATGTTGCAAACTCACTTTACTACTTATCCTTGCTTATCAGTCTTTTTTTTTACCCTGCAATCTCGCAGATATTGACTGCATGCGTGCATGTTTCTTGGTTACTTCCTGCTAACACCACGTAGCCCTCATCTTAAACCTTATCCCCCAGCTGCCCCCGTCGTACAAGCTCGCGCTCCTCAAGAACGAGTATGGCGATGTCAAGGTAGACACCGCGCTCGCGTCTTCGGCGGCCATTTCTGGTGTGCAAGAGCTGCTCAACGGCTGTATATGCTGCAACCTCGTAGGCCAATTATCCGACGCGCTCGAAACGCTCGCCCGCGATGTAAAACCTGATCGCATTGTAATCGAGACTTCTGGGTCTGCCTTCCCGGCCACGCTGGCCATGGAGGTCAACCGGCTGAGTCGCGAGACGGGCAAATATGTACTCGACGGCGTAATGAGTGTCATTGATGTAGAGAACTGGAAGGGATACGAAGACACGAGTATTACGGCGAAAATGCAGGCGCGGTACACCGATCTCATTGTGCTGAACAAGCATGAGTTGGTCAGCGAGAGGCGGCTGGAAGATGTGGAAGACGCCATTCTGGCGCTCGAGGTGGAGCCACAGATTCCTAGGACTAAGAGTCGCAAGGGCTGGGTGGACAAGGATATCGTGTTTGGGTTGGATGCGCGGCTTGCGGGCGTTACGGAGGAAACAAAGGACGGGGCGCATACGCATGAGCACGACCATGGACATTCGAGTGAGGTAGAGGTCTTGACAGTGACACTCAAGAGCGAGGACAAGGCGAGGAGCGTGGATACATCGAAGTTGGCAAAGTTCCTGCAAGACCCAACAAAGGATGAAGTATACCGGATAAAGGGAATACTTTATGCTTCTACACCGCCCAAATCTTCAGACACTATACCCCCATCAACTCAGCAAGTACCAGAAGGGAGAGTGAGATATATTCTGAACTGGGCATTTGGCCGTTGGACATTTACACCCGTAGCCTTGCCTGCAGGCGAGGAATTGAAAGAGGAGCCAGTGCTGAGGCTTACTGTAATTACGGCGAAGTACGAGTCTACAAAGTGGAAGAAGGAGATTGAGTCAAGCGGACTAGTGGCGTTGGAAGGTGACACGCCAGGGACATTGACAGTGGAGAAGATAGCATAGATGGCGCCGTCAATGTGTGGATACCCCCCCAGGTCAAGAATCAGACGATTTAGATTTGCCAAAATGGATATACTTCAGTTCATTTGGGCCTGATACTCTCACAATTCTTTCACAACTGAGCATTATGGGTCCAGAGTTCGTATATGTGCATTTAACGTGGTGTCAAAAGGGGACCCCCGATGTTTATTGAGAATTCTGTAACATCAGCTTTCCTGCTGCAATTGCTCGACACAACTTCTTAGTAAGCGCATCAGTGTCATCTGTATGCTCCGGCCCGCAGGCGTGCCCGCATGTTTGCCAGCACCCCATCCAAACGGCAATACCAGCCTCCTCTTTGCATTTCTATCCAGGACAACGAGCGCATCTAATGGGAACTTTCCTCCGCCCAGAGGATGCAAGAGACCCAGCCGGACAAAGTGGTTGTTGGATGTGGTGGCAGCCTGTACCAAAGGGAGCGAAAAGGGCGCAGATGGAGAGAGGCGATGTGTAGAAGGGTCATGGCAGAGAACAAGGGCTTGGAGCGAGGGCGAGAGTTTGTAGAGGTCAGGTAAGGCCGAGCTATGGAATGTCAATTGTGTTTTTTTGTTGGGGTTTGGAACGCAGCGTACCACAAGAGCTCATAGTGTATCTGAACATTACCTTGCACGCACAGTACTGTTATCGACTGTCCCCGTTGGTATCTGGCCCAGTTATTATGCGCCTGTAGCTTACTATCCGGTGGCGCCGCGAGCACATTGCTGGCTAGTATGGCGTCTACATCGACTGTCCACGCATCTTCCGGGCGTATGATTTCCAGCTCTTCCAGCTCGCACTGTGTCTTTGATTTCTTCAGAGTGTCTCCAAACGGAGAGGGCGCAGGCGACGGCTCCCTTTTTGGTGGCAGATCCTCGTCATCATCGAGGGCCAAGCGCGAGCGTTTGCGGCTCAGTGCCACGTCCATGGTCCAGCTATGTTGCGTTAGTAAGTCACCCATCTACGCTGTCGCACCACTTTTTGTCGCAGTGCTGCAGGGAAAAGAGAAAGGACATGGCTGAACCGGCCAGCGTACATTGATTTACATAACGTCGTGGAGGATTTGCGGTTGTCACAGACGACGCGTGGGTAGGAGAGTCAGGGGAAGGGCGCGAGGGGAGGGCTTACTAGGCTGCCCAAGCTTCTGATTCCCTGCATGGTTGCTGACTTACCCCGCCATAGTCGTGACAGCCTTTTGGGGGCTACCCCACTATCGCTCGTGTGTGTGCGCGCCTAGACTCTCTCAGCAGGCGGCTTGCAACGTGCATCTTGGATGCATTCGCTTCGATGGCTTCCAAAGACGTCACAGGCAGACTGCGACAAAGCACCTGGAACGGGAGCATCCCCCTCGAGATACGACTGCACAAAGGCGACTGCAGGACGTACGATGAGTCGGATCCTTACATAGTACGTGGAAAGAAGCATGTTGCTGTTTGATGAGGTGTGGTATGCAGGCTGGGAGTTGTGTGTTGACGAGCTTGCTAGATACAATTCCCACGGATCTCGTACCTTGGCCTGTTGATCCATAAGCTGCATACCTTCTTCTCGCGCAGCCTCATCTACCCGGATGTCAGCCCGAAAGACGCGTGGCTCTCTTACGAAGATGTTCCGTTGAAGTGGCACTATCCTCTAGGCCTCCTGTATGACCTCTACTCTGGAGCTGAGCCTGCATATCCCCCAGACGCAGACGTAGACGCCGCACCAGCACACCAGCTTGAAGGCGGCGAAGAGGAACGCGGCCGGCTTCCATGGCGTCTCACGGTTCACTTTTCAGACTATCCGACCGAGCAGCTGGTGCAACTCGACAACGACGGCAAGCACCTCAACGACTTGTTCATTCAAAGCGTCAAGGAGGCCGACTATCTGAGGACGGGCACGGGGAAGACGGTCATGTTTCTGAGTAAGGAGGACAGCACGCAGCTGTGGGAAGGAGTTAAGAAACACGAGTTTGCGCTATATAACCCCATCAACCAAAAACTACTCAACCCGCAGGGAGTCAGTCTGAGACATTTACCGGTCAGACTGTATTTGCCGCATGCAGCGACGGAGGGTGTGCAGGAAGAGAGGGCGCCCGGGAGCTTGAGGATTGTGCAAAGACTGATCACACCGAGTCTGTCGTCTAGTAGGTGCACGTGGTTGCGGTGTGAAGGGCAAGTGAGGCTAACAGGGGAACAGGGCAACCACAGACCATCGGCACAGCGCTGAATCACGTGCTACCTGGGTTATTTCCGAGCAGGCGAAGTCCACTGCTGGCACAAGCAGTCCTCCACGGGGCAGCACTACCGTTGGGGGCGAATGTGGAGGATTTGGTACGTGCCGCAGCGTACCTGGACGGGTGGTTGCACATTGCAGTTGTTATGATGGCATGATAGATAATTGCTTTGTGCCTGGCGTGGGGTTGGATACGGCCCGAGTCATGGCGGATGTGCGCTATGGCGGTATTGTTGATATCAGCAATATTGGTTTTGCAGGCGTCAGGCGTGGGCCCACACGAGTCGCAGTCAAGACGCCAATGTTTGCCAAGATGCGGGGGCAAGCATACTTAGCAGAAGCTTAGTGAGGATTGCAGGAACACACCAGTCCAGCCAACATGACACCCACCCAACTGCGTCTGTTTCTGAGCAGCAGTCGGCGCTGCCGGCATCGGGCACCGGACACCGGGCATGTCCAGCGCCAGGCGAGGCGAGGCGAGGCGAGGCGTGTGGGAAATGAGGGATTATCGGGGTGGTTGTATTGTTCTGGCTTCCGGTGTGCTCGGTCTATCTTTTGCATGGCATGCCACCGTCGGCTATAGGCTCGCGGCCGACTCGGAGCAGGGCGGCAAACAGAACCATCAATCAGAAGCGATAAGCATTGGCTGATGACATAAGTGCAGCCAATGCCGCCGCTGCTGCCATGCCCGAAACAGCATCACTCAACCGTGTCGCAGGGAACTTGGACGCGGCTGGGTGGAGCCGATGGGTAGCCTCAGCGGCGGCTTGCAGCGACGCGATGCAGCCGTCGAGGGCGTGGAGAGTACTATGGAGTGAGCATGGTAGAGGAGCTACGGTGAACAGCTGCGTGACAATGGGAGAGCCGTTCAAGACCCTTTCTTGCTCCACCCAACACCCGACGACAGCAGCGCCCATCCCGCCTCGTACGAATGGATGCCGCAGTAAGTATGTGATTGCATGCCGCGCCATTGGCACACGTGACGTCGCTCTTTCAACCCATTTGCTAGCTAGCTAGCTCCCTCAACCCCCTTCATTGCGACGTTGCTAGCCCCCCAGCCATTACCACTTCTCCTCTGCTCAAACGCTGCTGCTGCTCCCGTCTCGTTGTCATCCCACAATCCCTAACACATCCACACCCCATTCCACCCAGCCTGCCCTCATCTGACTACACCAAACCAAGCCCTCGCCCAACAAAGAGAGGTACGTACTAATCATTCCGTCATTGCCTCTCCACCCCGGCCGAACTGCGTGCACACCTACCCTTGCAAGCTTGGAGCTCCCGGGCAACCCGCTAGGACCGCGGGCCATACAAAATGCCTCATCAACTGCAGAGATTTTCGGCGAAGGCGCGCACTTAAAAAGCCAACTATCAGCGCCTCGAGTACTAAGGCTTCTGTTTTCGCTTTTTGACGCTGCACCGCTGTTTGACCTGCGCCATCCCAATTCCCACCGCCAAGCTGCTTCTGTGCCCTTCACAACCATCACACCACCGTGGGACTCAACCGAATTGCGCTTACCAGCCTTCTCGTCAATTAGCAACAGCTCCTAAACAAAAGCTGTTTCTACCCAGCTCCTCAACTTGCAACAAGGTCCGATTAATTTCGTAAATGTAAGCTTTCCATGCCACCGCCTTTTCCGCTGCACCTCTGTTGGGGGCCGGGGTCGACCATTACGTCGCGTCGTCGCATCCTCCCGCCCATCGAAACAATGTAGTCTTGCGACACGGACCAAGGGCTTGAGCGGCATTCCCAACCCCTTCGCACAAGATCGCCGAGCCTCCGTCGGACCATCCGTCAATCGTCTTCACTACTACATCTTAACCTCCGCATTCCGCACCGCATCGTCTTCCAACACCCTCTCTGACTTTTCTTCTCGCGCAGAAACCTACCTTCACAATGGCCGCCATCAGCATGCCCCTCGCCGCTCGCGCCGAGTACACCCTCCACCAGCTTGCTAAGCGCAAAAACTGGGCTGAGCGCGAGCCCGGTGTCATTGTTGTCTTTTGCATTGTTTTCGTCGTCGCCGTTCTGTTCCTTGCCATGTTCATCAACAAGAAGGTATGTGACATGCTTCCTCTTCTACCCTTGCGCTCTTCCAACATTGTACTAACAAATCTCAACAGAGGCAAGCCAGCAAGGGCGTCGCATAAGATACCCCAAGTCGATTTGCGCGGGAGTGAGAGGAGCAACATACATTCAGCTTCCAAGGGTGGGAGAGAGCAAAGGGACAAGAATTCATGACCCGCGATACCAAAGTCAGAAGGCTTCATGTCACAATGTTGTGCGGGCAAGAGGCTTGTGTATAATGTGTTTGAATATTCGCGTACAACCTACTTTACATGAGCTTTTCTTTGATGAGAACTGCGACATGGTTTGCGGATATCCTGATTGTATTGGGATCCGTAGTAATAATGAACAAATCGAGATACCTCAACAAGCAATTTCATTCACTGAATTTGTACCTCTCAATTCGACCACAGTGTTTGCCATGGAGCTCTGTCAACAACATTCTGCGTGACTCGAGCGTGCAAGGGAAGGATTTGGTGGGTCACCGCCTCACTGTTGATCATATCGGCTAGTATGATTTTGGAATCTGCAACTTTTGACCGTTTGTTTGCCTATGTGACCAAATTCGTACCTCTCTCTCTCTTCTCATAACCTCCCTTCCTTCCTCACCGCCCCCTCTTCCCACTGCCGACAAACGTTCGTATACCCGTACCCCCCGACTACTAGATCATAACGCCGGTGGGGGACAAGCAAAGAGAGAAGAAAAAAAGGATCACGTACCTGCATCAAAAGTGGATCCCAATCTCCGCTCTCATCTCCTTAGCGCGAGAGCCGCAATCGCTAAGCACTTACTAGGTCTTGCCCATAGCCCTTGCTTGAAATTCAACAAATCAATTGAATAGAATGTTTCACGGTAGATTGAAATAGAAACAGAGAGCTACGCTATACAGTGTCAGGGTTGGCTTTTGTTTTTTTTGTTTTTCAGAGTAACTAGTAAGTTTGTGTTCTGTACAGAGGCCAAGGAAGTCAAGGATTTTGCGAAGGGGGGGGGGGGTGATTGGTTGGTAAGATGCGGAATGAGTGCGGATGCTTTACTGTTTATGGTGTGGGTTGGTTGGGGGATTGGGGGAAGGAGGTGTGTGTGTGTGGTATTGTTTTCTACTAAGTAAAGTGAAACACTGTTTCCGCACATATTATTTGACATAGTGATAGTGATAGTGATGATCGGATAGTAAAGTTTAGTTTGCCGAAACAAAGTCTAATAATGTCTTGTAGGTTCTTTGCCTTGTTGATGCAAGTGTGGAGGGAGTGGAGGGGGGATAAATGCTTTGCCAGCGGCGATTTACTAGGTCCGAGCAAGCAGCCGCAGTATAGCGGCGGCTTACCAAGGAATTAGGAAATCATCTGCCAATCTTGCTGAGTGCTGTTATCAGAACACATTTACAAAGTAAATATAGCATGTTCACATTTTTTAAGAAGAAGTCTAGCGAATACGCCTGTCCTGCTTCAGTCCTAACCCATCCGACCAAAGCCTGCAAGTGACAAGGAAAAAAGAGCAACGTAGACTAAGGAATCATTCCAAGGCTCAAGTCGAAATTATGCTTAATGTGGTAAGTTTCCTCAAAACTCATTTTCCAACGACATCTTTGTGCAAAATAATCTCATGCCTAAATTGAAGAAAAGCCTCGTGATCCTGGGGGGTATCAAGCACATTGAGCATACAAGTCCTCACACGTCGGACGAATAGAGAATAGAGAAGAGAGAGGGAAAAAGCCAATGATCCCAATAAATGGAACTGCATCGTGACCGCTGGGCTGTCCTGTATCAAGTTTCCAAGCGGCGACAATTTTAAAGTTGGCATTGGTAGAGACGAGGAGGAGGAGCAAACTCAACTCACTGCAGTCCTTGAAGCAGATGATCGTGTATGAGACTCGAGGATTAGAGCCAAAACTTGTGTTGGAGAAACCAATTGAGAAGGCATGACTAGTCAGGAAAATAGTTTCGGATATTTTAAAGTTTGATACAGATCAGCACATCGTGAGTTGGACTAGCGCGCGCATCAAACGTTGAGAATTAACCATGTGAAATAATTTGCTTGGATTTGTTTACTACAAGTCTCAGAATATACAAGCCTGGTTACAAAAACACATTAACCGCACATACACACAGCGAATGTTACCTGGCAGCACTGCTCACCAACCCCTGGTTTGATGCATTCATGTAAAAGCCATGCTCTTCTTGATCTCAGCAATGGCCAGTGCAGGGTTCAGTCCCTTGGGGCATGTCCTTGAGCAGTTGAGAATGGTGTGACATCGGTACAAGCTCATGCTGTTGTTAAGTGCGTCCTGGCGCTCAGCCTTCTTCTCATCACGCGAGTCGGCGATCCATCGGTAGGACTGGAGGAGGACAGCGGGTCCAAGATACTCCTCCTGGTTCCACCAGTACGAGGGGCACGAGGTTGAGCAGCAGGCGCAGAGAATGCACTCATAAAGACCATCAAGCTTCTTGCGGTCTTCCTTGGACTGACGGAACTCACGACCCTAGCCAATTGTTAATGCGGGCTTCTACAGGCGGGGTCAATCGATATACGTACATCTGGCGCGGGGGTGGAGCGCTGCAGGTATGGCTTGACGGAACGGTATTGCTTGTAGAAAAGCGTCATGTCTGGCACAAGGTCCTTGACAACGTACATGTGGGGAAGCGGGTAGATGCGAGACTCCTTGGCTGTGTCGGTGGGAATACGGCCTGTAAGAATTGTTAGCATTGCAACCACAATCTGCTGACTTGTTCCGCATACAAAGGCATGCCAGTGTGTTGACTCCGTCAATGTTCATGGCGCAGCTTCCGCAAATACCCTCACGACAACTCCGCCTAAAGGTCAAAGTCGGGTCCATCTCGTTCTTAATCCTGATGAGTGCATCTAGCATCATAGGTCCGGTCTTATTCAGGTCCAGAGTGTACGATTGCATCTTAGGCTTGGATGTGGGCTCATCAGGATTCCAGCGGTAGACGTGGAAAGTCTTCATTTTAGCATCTTTGGTGGGCGAGGACTCCTTGACGTTGGACGTCTTGCTCTCGGGAATGGGTTTCCGCGCGGCATCAGGTACAATCTTTTCGGCAGTCTTGGACATGGGGTCGCGGGCGTGGACGTCGGTAACGGAGGCGAAGCTGCGAGAGAAAACTGCCGGTCGGACGGCTGTCACAAGGTGTTAGCAGTGCTCAATGGCTTGCGAGGAGGGCCGCATGGTTGAGCATACCAGCTGGTCTCAGCGCCAGACGAGTAAGAGCGCGGGTGCAAGCCATAGCTAGGTGGTGTGGAGTGGAGAGTGTCGGGTGGGCTCAGAGGTCAAGGTGTTGGTATCATTGAAGTTGGAGCATTGGGGCGCCACTCAAGTTCCCTCGGTTATGACAACTCGCTGCATGTGATTGGTGGCCGCTGCTTGTCGGACGATCCCGGCTTCTCGATCTCCCCTCGGTGCCACTACATCATCGTCGAAAACGTCAAGACTTTTCGCCTACATCTCGCGCCATAAACATGAAGCTTCGCGCGCCATTTTCGTGTCGCATTCGCCCTGTAGTATCTTCCATACATTGCCAATGGCTCTCTGGCATGAAAACTATCATGATTTTCTCAATTGCAGCTGTGCTTTGAGTATTTTCATCCAACTCTTGTGAGATCGCGTGACCATTTTGATGTGCTACAAATCTTTCATCCATCTGACATGTAACACACTATCTACAAAAGACCTGCTCTCACATGCATCATATTAGGACTCTCTAATGCCAGGGGCAGCCTATGCTATACCAGCAGTATTTTGACAGTGCTCCAAAAAGACAGTACTCAGGTTGATGATGAAGCCCTATGGGAACAATTTCCCCTTGAGATTGGTGTACACGGTAAAGCTACCACTCTCCTTCTATGTAATGCTACTTATAGAGACTTGTTTCGCACCAAGATTGATTGACTTTTCTTTTTTCCATGTCTCTCATCCTTTAATCTATCTCACTTTCTTCTTGTTGATTTCTTGCTATTACTTACTTGTTATCGCTCTCTTGATATTCCGCTCAAAACTGGCTGGACCAACATGCACAGCCATGTCTTTCCAATACAATGGTCGTCTTAAATCTAGTCAACGTTGTGTTCTTAGACCCGGTCACCCTCTTTCTAGTCTATCACTTTGCTACTATTACCAGTATCCCATCTTAGCCATCACTGCTCTATGCTTCAATCGGCCATTGCTGAAAATATATATGCCTCAGGCATATGTGATTATGAGTTTTCTTCTCTTTCTCATCGTAGCGCTTGACGCACTTGCAACATGTAACAAAGCATCCCAAGACAGAAGGCACGACCAAGGCCAGATCCGTCTCCACTTGGGGTGACTCCAATCACCCATCGGCTGACCGTATGCAAACGGTGGCTCACAGGCGTTTGTTGTTGTGATTGTGGGCTTGGCGCTTGCCGTCGCTGCCAAAAACTGCAGCTCTCCTTGTATCTGTCACCACTCACTCCACGCACGCACACGCATTGTACCTCTACTTTCTGTACAATATTCGACGTATCTAGAACCGCAAAGCTGTCTAAGTAATGGCATCGTCTCAGGTAAGTTACCATCGTGTTTTGATTACACTAGAGCCCTGTTACTGACTATCCCTGAGATGTTTACGCCCACAAAGGGTAGAGTTGCGGGAGGTGGCAAAGCTGCCAACCACTGCGACTCTAATCGCATCGGCTATACTGCGCCTTTCCAACCGGTTAATTCCTTCAAGGTTCCAATGGCTACAGCAAGCTTTGAATCAGATGGGAGCACCTCCGCTGGTTCTCACGCCTCGTCTGGACAGTCCATGTCACAGGTTAGCCACAGCGATGCTACGGTACATCCTACTACTTCATCTCGAGGAGGGCAGGTCGATACGCAGCCACTGCAGGCTATATATCTCATAGAGCTTGCCTGAACCTAAAGATGTCTCAATGAGTGTAGGCTAATTGATGTATAGCCGATTACTCCACTGCGAACTCGCCGCAACTCACATGTCAACCATGCATCCGAAAACTGGCGCTCACCTCGTGGTAGCTCCCTCAACGGCAGCTGTGGTCCCCTTACCAGTCCAGTCACATCTCAGAGGGCTTTTGTGAACGGTATCCCTGAGCATCTGGCTGTGCAGGAGATGGCTTTTCGACAAGGTCAGCATGACTGCAACGGCTCCCACGACAAAACTCCACCAAACCCCTTCGCAAAGTCGTTCGACAATGTCTGGGCACAGTACTACAAGCTCGGCGCCGCCTATGGAAAAGCTCCTGCAACCTCGCCTACAGCAGCTTCATCCCCATCACACGGGAACTTTGCTTGGTCTGTACTCATCAACCCCGCCACACAGGACTTGGAGCATCCGAACGGCTCAGTCGATATGGAGTGGGCTCGCACGATCTGCGTCATGGGATTGAAGTGCATGAGGGAGCTGATTAGTATTGTTTGCCGACGTCACAACGATTGGCGCAAGATTGTCTGCGACATTCCTCTTCCGGTCAGGCATGCCATAGTAGCATTCCCGGATCTTTGCGAGCACTACGAAGCCCTCCTGCGCGATGCTCATGAAGCACTCAGTGGCCGACTCCCTATGGGCTACTGAGAAAGATAGCAGTAATAGTCGAGTAAGTCCAAGCGGCGTTGAAAGTCCGAGTCAAATTGCTAATACGAGAGACAGCTTCCCGTTTGTCAGCTTTGTTCAGTATTCTGTGCGTTTCGACCATTACATGAATGTCTGTTGATGATCATGACGATGTATATCTACGGATCGCTAATGGCATACATCTGAATAATGCTTTTGAGGACAGCAGAAGGTTGGGAGATGCAGTGTTGCGATCCTCGAGATTTGTCTGTTCTTCTATCAGTTGTGGCGTTTGGTCGGTGGTAGGCACGGCGTAGTTTCGGCGTGATCGTGGAAAGGATGTGACACGGCAAGACCGCCATGGTCTTACTTTCGTTAATGCACAGCGATGTCTCGGCCCTATGTAACAATAGTGTGGGTCCAGATCCCATCGGCGGCAGCACTTCGGATGTACTTGTAGTAAAGCTAATTATGCGGCCTTGTCAGCGGTAGAAGAAAAATACATGGTGGACATTGGAGCCGTAGTTTCCTAGCCTCTTTTGCCTGTCGAGTTGAGATTAGGTATCAATGGACACGTGCAAACATCCATGTGTCCATCTATCTAGATGACCGTGTCAGATATAGAGTTCAAGACAAAGCAGGCCATGAGTCGTCCGATTGAAGTCTCCTATTAAGACCTGTGTCTTGTTAATGACCGCACGTCATCACGTGGAGACGCGAATACGGACTTCGGGGCTTTCAAGGATTGCACAATATCCGCGTCATGCACACTGTGTGAGATTTTCACCCTCATTCTCCAGTGCCTCGTCGAGTTTGGTGAAGTCAGCATCTAACATGACAGCAACAGCTTCTATGCAGCCCTATGCCTTTGATCGCCAACAAAGCCTGCTGCAGCTTGACTGCAGCGCTGACTTGCGTCACTATTCTCGCAATCTCGGCCCCGGCGTCCAGGAGCGCATCTTCCAAACCACGAGCGACGCACTAAGAACTCAGCTCGATGAACACCGCGACTTTCTACTCAAACACCAGAGACAACAGCAACAACAGCAGCCGCATCTGGCTCCTGTTCCCGTTCCGAGCGGTCCTGCGCCAGCCCTCGCCCAACCGTACACACATGCTCGGCCTTACGCCCAACCGCCGCATCCCCCTTCGGTATCTTCGGTTGTACCGGCCGCAATAGCAACGCGGAGTCCGACAAAAACGGTACCAGGGGACATCAATACGTACCCGCTCGCTCTACGTGAGGCATTGTACTCGCAGAAATCTGCGTCACAAGCCCATGCCGGTCGGACAATATACCATGTGGTGGCGAGCAGAGCGGGTGCGCACCCAGGCGAAGAGGCAGCGGTAGTAGCCAGTCGCCGAAGCATGGTGGTAGCCAATGAAGTGGCAGCATAGTATTTCCTTGAGAACTACCTGGACAACAGCGAGGAAATAAAGTACAAGCAACTAGGGAATGGCGCATTGAGTTGCGAGGCAGTAAGGGACAAACAACGTATAAGCGTGTATGTACAAGAGGCGAAGTCAGAGTAAATATATAAAGGAGAGGTGTGCGTGTGCAGTTCCAAGGATGGGATATGGGCTTGGGGTCCCATGGTAGTCTTTGTGATGATCACATGCAATGTCCGACCACAGTGTTATCTTCTGCACAGCTCTCCAGTAGGTCAGTAGCCGATCGGTGATTACTGCAACGAAGGATACGTGTCTGGGCACCGATCATGGTATTGCTGTGAGAGCGTGGGAGCTTGAAAAGTATTATTGTACATGCAGTGAAGCACCAAGCAGCGTGTAGGACCCGCGAAAGCATGGAACTTGACATGACGAGAGAAAACCATTACCATGGACAGGCAGAAAAGAGGTCTCGTTGTTCGATATAGCATAATCATGGACCGCTTGCCTGTGATATGGGGATGAAACAACGGCGTCATTGTAGAATGTAGATTTCTGTAGATTTGTTCAGACAATTAATAGTAAAAAGAGTGCAATTTGTCCATGCAAATGGTATGTTTGAGGCCTCATAGGTTTTGTGTTCTCCGTTTTCCGTCTTGACATAAATCCTACTATAGATCAAGATGCCGCGCTATGCGCTCTGTTCTAGCAAGAGGCAGACGCAATTCTGGTACCTTGTATGCCTCCATGACAGACACTCCAAGTTGAGGAAAAAAACAAAATAACGAGTGCTGAAATGAGTAGATGAATCCAAGTGAGAAATGTGGGGATGCTCATGTCCTTAGCAAGGACGTGGGTCATGTGCAGCAACCGGAGGTCCGTATCTACCTTGTAGAGTACATTGCGTATTGACTTCCCAACAAGGCAGTTTGGAGCCATGGGCGTTGATCACCGTGGGCACGTTCCGCCAATAATCAACGTACAAAGGAGGGCGGAAGTCCGCGACTAACAAGGGCAAAGCAAACAGGTTTTGTCGGTGGCCCAACATGTCGACACACACACGTGCGCTTTCACGGTCTTGTGAGTGAGCAAGGGTCCGCCACTCTCTGTCTTTTAAACCGTTGCAAGCATTTGCATGCACGCCCTTCTGACGACTCCGTGCGTGTGTACTTGGACGAATACGACTACTACTACTACTACTGCAAACTACTTAGTAGTAGTTATTCCGGATAAATTGATACGTACGTAGTACCCGAGTTTATCAAAAGGACCCACGACCAGCGACCCGTTCTGCGCAACAAGCAAACCTCCCTTGCATACACTATATACTAGTAGGTGTAGTCATATCATACTTACACACGCTCTACCCCTCCCGCGGACCCTTTTCTACGTAACGCGCTGCAACCGGATAGCAGTAGCTATGGCGCCGCCGAACACGCCGCTTATCTACATCCTATGGCACCTATACCTGGAGCCTGTCTTCGCACTCGGCGGGGTATACAGACTGCATTTCAACCCGGAGAGCTACTTTGACTTTATGCCGTCGACGTCGGGCTACAGCGCCTCGTCCCAGATTGTGTGCGATCAGTTGGCGTCGGCGTACCTTTTCTTTGCGTTCACAGAGGGGGTGCTGTTGCGGGTTGTGGATGATAAGAGGACGTGGCGGTGGATCTTGTTTGGGCTGTTGCTGTGCGATTTGGGGCATTGCTATGCCGCGTGGTGTGAGATGGGGTATAAGATTTTTGGGCCTGAGGGATGGGGTGGGAAAGATGGGGTCACGAATAGCTTGAATGTGCTGCCGGTGTTGATTCGGACGGGGTATCTACTGGGGATTGGGGTGCCTGAGGGAGAGACGAAGAAGAGGGCTTGATGGGGGAGTGGATACATGTCGGTGGGTTACAATGAGCAAAGCAGTGTTATCTGTATTGTACAATGCGTTTCTAGATAGTCAGCTATGGAGACTCGAGGACGAACGCCTGGGGCGGGCTATTGTCGGCGCTCTCTTCCCTTCAACACCCTAGTGGGTGGGGCTTGAGGCTCATCACATCATGCTGAGAGATGAACAATGGGCGAATGGTATTCCGACAGTCCCGCCCCACGTCATAATGTGGTTGCTGGCTGTCATGGTGAAAATGGATAGTAGCATGCAATCAGGTGAGATCATGTCTGACTGCGTTTCGGGGCTGTTGTTCTTACTTGATAAGTACGCTCGCGACCGGGAACGCAGAGCCCTACGTCCCAAGGGCACTGCAGGCTCCCTCCAAAGCGCAAGATTTATCATGAGGAGGCTGAATATTTACAGCCGGCATACAACCAGGCTATGGATGTGGGGGGGCAACGGCTTGCGTAGGGGTCAACATCGGATTCTTTGCGTGACATCGGATTCTTGAGGAATGCCATGACGGCTTTGGCGGCCAGCGAGCTGCTAAGCTGCCCAACCCTGTCCCCACCTCCCCCTCCTCCCCCCTGCAAAGCAACGGCCCTGCGGCAATTGAAGACTGCAGCACAAAAGGAGACAGAGTGCGGTAGATAGGACACACACCTGTGATAGCCCTTTGGTCGTCTCGCACTGGTGCGCGGGGCAGGCCATCTCATTCGCAGCCGTCCGTCTACAGCGGGCTTGCGTGCCAAATTCGTGAAGCTCACGTAAAAATGATGCTTGTCCAGGAGTTGTCGCAGGACTTTTCTCGGGGCGGCACAGTGATTGCAGCGGGCTGGTATAGCAAGGTGGAGAGAGGCCCACTGGCAAACAGCACTTGCTCCGTGTTGCGCGGATACGTCATGCTGTCTGCCCGCCGCGGGGAGGGGGACAACGCTGCAATTTGCGGCGGCCACCACGACAAAACAACCAACAAAGTCCCCTTGCTGGCCAGCCTCGCGCCGCCCGAGCCAGCTACACCCACAGAGCCAGCCGCAAAGGCAGTCGTTTGCACGTGCATCCTCCTAGCTCCCGCTTTCTTGCTTTGGGCGCCGGGTAGACAGGCCGGAACTCAGTGAGGCTTCCCTGCAAATAGCTCAATCACGATCGATCGAAGCTACCGGAAATTTCACAGCGCCCTTCCACCGCCTCTATCTATACCTTTCACCTGGACTCTTCCGCCGGCTGTGAAAACGGGCTCTGCTCTCCAACACCTGTGTCTGCTCACCATCTCTATCCCCGTCCCTATACAGCCAATTCCTCATCGCTGGGCGACAACGCCAGCCCGCCGCCCAACATGACTACACACGTCGTTTCTCTGTAGGTCGCCCACCTCTTCTTCCCCTAGTCTGCAGACCGCATGTTTGCTTCTTTTCTTCTTGATGGGTAGGTAGACACGTTCAATTCCTCTAATACAGCTAGTTTCCTACCCTATACCGTCGACTTTCAAGACAACAAGTCTGCCCCTCCAAGTCCGCCCCAAGCAGTCGTGCCTACCCAGCTGAGTGATACTCTTCGCAAGCCATCCGCCACCGGCCTATCGAGCACAAGGCCCGCACCCGGCAGCAATGAAGAGCAACCCCAGAGTCTCCTCAAGCGGGCGCCGCCCTCGCACATCGCGCTGCCCAAAGCCTCAACACGTATGACCGAGCACGAAGACTTCTTCACGCCTGGTCAGCCAAGCGCCGCCACTCACTTCCCCAACGCAGCCGACCCCCGCGGCCTGGTCCGCAGCGATGCCCATGTCCCTGAATGGGGTGGCAGCGGCATCTTCTTCAACCAGCCCGTGTCCAGAGCCGAGCCCGCCCCACCAGACACGATTCTCGAATACGCAAAGGCACAAGAACGGGCGCAGGCTCAGAAGGAGCGCATGAAGGGATCACACGCTGGCAAGCCAGTGACAGACCCGAGATGGGCTACTGAATACAGGGTTGTCCCTGCTGCTCAGGGCAACGGTGGCCTTACCAACGCTCTCCGTGCTGCAGTCGACAACAAGTGCCTTAGTGATACCATTACTGTTGGCCTGATTGGCTTCCCTACAGACAGCCTAAACGAAGAGAAGAAGACCGAGATCTACGAGAAGCTTGAGGAGGAACACGATGCTCTGACTGTTTTTGTCAGTGATAAAGACTTTGACGGCCATTACGCCCATTACTGCAAGACGATTCTATGGCCAGTATTTCACTACATCATTCCTGACCACCCCAAGAGCAAGGCTTTCCTTGACCACTCCTGGGTCTTCTACGTCAAAGTCAACCAAGCTTTCGCAGACAAGGTTGTTAAAAACTACAAGCGCGGAGATGTCATATGGGTGCATGATTATCACCTATGTCTTGTTCCTCAGATGATTCGCCAAAAGCTACCAGATGCACAGATTGGCTTCTTCCTGCACACAGCTTTCCCGTCCTCTGAGGTTTTCCGGTGTCTTGCTGCCCGCAAGGAGCTTCTCGATGGTATGCTTGGAGCGAACCTTGTCGCCTTCCAGACACCCGAGTACGCCCACCACTTCCTGCAAACCTGTAGTCGGATTCTCTCTGTAGAGGCTACGGAGGACGGAGTTCAGCTTGAGAACCGCTTCGTCAACGTCTGGTCCTCGCCCATCGGCATTGACCCTCGCGCACTGTCTCTAGCTCGAGAAGAGCCCGAGGTTCTCGAGTGGATCCAGACTATGCAGAAGCGATATGAGGGAAAGAAGGTCATTGTTGCTCGCGACAAACTAGACAACATTCGTGGTGTACGCCAAAAGTTACTAGCTTTTGAGCTGTTCCTTAACAAGTATCCTGAGTGGAAGGATAAGGTTGTTATGATCCAGGTCGCGACATCCACTACCGAAGACACCGAGTTGGCTGCAACCGTTTCTGAGATCGTTACCCGTATCGATGCCGTCCACTCTACATTGACTCACAATCCCCTCATCTTCCTCAGACAGGACATTTCTTTCTCGCAGTACCTTGCTCTGCTATCCATTGCCGATGCGCTTGCCATTACTAGTCTTCGCGAAGGCATGAACCTGACCTGCCACGAGTTTGTCATTTGTCAGGACGGGCGCGGAGGCGAAAAGAAGCACAGCCCCGTCATTCTCAGTGAGTTCACAGGTAGTGCGTCAATTTTTGATGGTGCAGACCTCGCCATCAACCCATGGGACTACAACAACATTGCCGAGGCCTTTCGAATCGCCTTAGAAATGAAGGACGATGAGAAGGAGCGAAGGTTCACCAAGATGCGCAACATTGTCATGAACCAAACTGGCGACAACTGGGTCAAGAAACTGAGCACTCACCTCGCCAAGGTTTACGAGGAGCAATTCAAGCGCGATACTATGTCGATCCCCCGACTCTCTTCGAGCAGCCTTGGAAGTGCCTACCAGCAGTCACAGAGGCGCTTGTTCATTCTAGACTATGAAGGTACTCTTGCGTCGTACGGATCTGTCAACAAGACTATTCTCGCTAATACCGAGCGTGTTATCGTTCTTCTTAACGATCTCGTTGCCGACGACAAGAACGCCGTTTATGTAATGACTGGTCGAACTGTTCGGGAAACTGAGCTCATCTTCAACCGCGTCCGTGGCCTTGGACTCATTGCAGAGAATGGCTGCTTCTTGCGCGAGCCTGGCGCGAAAGAGTGGATCCAATTCCCTGAAGAGGAGAAGACAGTGAAGTGGAAGGACTCAGTCAAGCCGATTCTGCAATACTACCTTGAGCGTGTCGAAGGCAGTTGGGTTGAGGAGCGCCACTGCTCGATCATCTTCCATTACAACAAGTCTGACGACAAAGACGACTCTACAAGTCGACACGCCGGTGATTGTGCAAACCACATCAACGACGCTTGCGAGCAGCAGCGTGTCAAGGCAATCCCCACAAAAGACTCAGTTGTCATTGAGCCAGTAGACTTTGACAAGGCTTCTGCTGCGCAGCACATTTTCAGCAAGTACCCAGAGGATGCCCGACCTGACTTCCTCCTCGCTGCTGGCAACGACCGCAGTGATGAAAACGTCTTCCGCTGGGCGAAGCAACTCAAGGACGATGCCATTGTTCGCAACGTGCAGACCGTCACAGTTGGTGATCGCAACTCAATTGCCATGTCGACGCTCCCCAACGGGGCAACTGGTAAGTCATTCTTCTGACGATTGACATCCAACACGCTAACAAGTACAATAGGACTACTTGGTGCTCTGACGAAGCTTACCAAGAACCCTCGCGGTTCGCCTTAGGGTTTTTGAAACATATTTCGAGCGAGGATGACGTAATGATTGGGGCATGTCCCACGCATTCGATACCCCTTCCCATGAAGTAATGATTTGGCAATGAAATGAACACACAACGGCGGCTCGCGTGAAGACGAAGGGTTACAAGAGAACTGCTGCTATTAATGAATCAACGTCAAGCACTGCATGGGTGGAGTTAAGCGGGGTCTTTTACTACGATAGATTCTTTCCGCATTCAATACGAAACCCAGAAGTCGATGCTGTTTGTTGGAATGCTGCCTATGAAGACTTATCCTTGATGCGAATATCTATTCCAGATTTCTGCGGGTTTTACATAATCCTACGTCTAGATAAGCTCTCCCATGCTCAAAAAGTCACGGGAGGGAAGTATATGCATGTGTTGAGGGACTACTACCTAAAGTGGCGAGAAACGCCTAGCCCCCAATCAGTAGTACCACTAGCCTATGCTCTTGATAGACTAAGATGTTAGGAACCAAACCAGCCGCCTTCACCACCACGCATTTGAAATTCTTGGATTTGATGTACTAAACTGCTAGGTTTTTACATATTGACTGATAGACTGTAACCGGGAAATTGTATAACCCTGCAATGTTGGAGTGCAGTCGTGTCTTGTCGATGTTGCGTTGTTTTGGTGGGGGTTGGATTAGTGTTTATCCGGGTATTTTAGTCCACCGAGAGTTACTACGATAGCCTAGTGTAAGCTTAACCCCGCTTCGCATGTACCTGCTTTCTCGAGAGCAAGCTAATGCTCATCCCTGGTCGTATCTACGGCCCGTTGTCAATCTAGCGGACCATAAATATGTACAGTAAGAGAGGTGAAATACACCCCAAGCCTTTTCAATAACATGAACCCAATGTAGACTTTTCGCAATGCCACAAATCATCCAACTCAAGGCGCCGAATGGGAAGCAGTGGGAGCAGCCGACAGGCCTCTTCATCGATAATGAATTCGTAGATTCTTCGTCGCCATCGAATACGATATCATCAATAGACCCTGCCACTGAGAAGGAGATTGCTGCAGTCCAGGCTGCGACTGCGGAAGATGTTGACCGTGCAGTCCATGCTGCGAAGAAAGCACTCCAGAACCCAGACTGGAAATACATTGATGTTACTGAACGTGGGAGGCTCATAGCCAAGTTGGCAGACTTGGTCG